CTGAAGAGAACTTCGAGGGAGTTAATGACCTTGGAAATGAAGGCTGCTTTCCTGGTTTACAAAACAAAAGGAAACAAAGAAAGAAACCTAAAAAAAATAAAAGTATAAAAACAGCGAAGGCCTGGCATCTGCCTCTAGTGCCCGGTCCTCAGATGGTTTGAAAGTAACCTAAATACAATGACACTCTTGTCAAGTGGGAATCTGGGTAAGCAGAGAATAATTAACCAATTGGTATAGGTAATGACATGCCTTACGTGTATAATTCCATTTTAGGTTTCATTCAGTTAGCATTTTATAGTGAGTTTTAGTGAAACTAGGGTATTTCCATATTCTTCTCAACTAGATAATTAAAGCCAATTTTATTTACAATAGGAAGCTAGCAGAATTTACTTGTGGGTTTGAAGGCATTCCACTTTATCATTGGGTCACTTTCAATACAGTCCTTTGGTTTCATCTTTTATTTATTTATTTTTAAAAATATATTTTATTGATTTTTTATAGAGAGGAAGAAAAACGGAATAGAGAGTTAGAAACATCAATGAGAGAGAATCATCGATCAGCTGCTTCTTGCACACCCCCTACAGAAGATGTGCCCGCAATCAAGGTACATGCCCTTGACTGGAATTGAACCTGGGACCCTTCAGTCCACACACCAACGCTCTATCCACTGAGCAAACCGGTTTCAGCTGGTTTCATCTTTTATTATTTTATTTATTTATTTATTTATTTTAAATGTATTTCTATGTTATTTTTAAAACATTTTTAAAAAAACCATTTTAAAAGGAAATAGCTTAACTAACTTAACAAGAAGTCTTGGTAAGACAGGATCGGCAGTGGTTAGCTTATCATTTCAATTATGGTTCCCTCAGCTCAGCCTGTACCCTCTCCAATCCGGGACCTCTCATATCTGTTAAGAATGGCTAACACTTATACAGGCTTTACCGTGACTTGGGCACTGGATTCAGAACTTTATGTGCATTAACTCATGTAATCCTCACAATGTTTCTAATAAGGTAGTTACCATTGTCATTCCCATTTAACAGATGACAAGTTATCTGCTGATAATTTGCTCATGATTGGCAGAGTCAGGATTTGACACCAGATAGTCTAATTCCAGAGTGCCATTATACGTTATGGTATATTGCCTCTCACTTCTCTATATTTCTCTCCGATTAAAAAATAGTGACTAGTTACTGTTTCAAATAAAGAACTAAAGAAATACATGTCAACATTTCAAATTGCAGCTTATAAGTAGTTAAATGAGCTATGTACACTGTACCACTTTTCTATTACTGGGTAACAAACCAGCCCCAAATTTTGTGGTTTAAAACAAAAATATATATATTTATTTTGTTTGGAAATCTTTAATGGGGCAGAGCTCAGCAAAGGTGACCTATCTCTGTACACACCCCATCCACAATAGCAGGGGTGGCTAGTTTGGGCACTGGTTAGTCAAGATGACGCACACACATGGCTAACAAGTTGGCGCCGGCTTTGTGCTGATCTCAGCCAGGACTGTGGGTTGAGGTGTTAAGTTCTGCCCCACATGGACCTCTTCACAGTTGCTTGCACTTATTCTCTTTCGCTCTCTTTCTTTCTTTTTAATTATAACTCTGTTTTCTTTTCTTTTTAGTGATTACAGCTTGCACTTTTTCACAGCAAGGTGCCTCAGTTCTATGAGCAAATGTGTCTTTTTGATACACTTCTTTTGGCCAAACAGAAACTTGCCTTTTATTCATTTTACAACCTAGCCTTGAAGGTACCACGGCACCACTTCCCCTAGAATCACATGGCCACCCCAAATCAAGGGGAGAGCACTGCGATGGAAGGAGTGTCACATAAGAAGGTATGCAACTAGTTTGGTTGTTACAGACAGATTAGGAAATACAAATGCGGCAAACACTTTTATACATTCAAGAATACAAATAGGAAGTCATTCCATGGGAAATGCAGTCACAAATATTTTTTGAAATGCTAATTTAAAACTTCCAAAAGAATTTAAAACATTTGAATCCAGTGCTTGGCAAGGCTGAAGGTGCACTGTAAATTGGTTTAAGATTGTGTATAAAGCTATTTGACAGTATTCATATTCTTCGATACAATACAAAATATTCTTAAGTTTTAATACTAACAGGATGTCAATAAACATGATTACAGCCTATTTAATAATTATAAGGAAATCATGGGCAGTAAAAATAGCAACTTTGTAGACTTAAAACACATACCTTCCCCCCACACACTGAATAAAGAGCACAAAATTAGTAAGCATAAAATATTAGAAGTGTACAATATGTCTACATATACAGTGGCAGATTAAAAGTGATATAAAGAAGTAGAAATATAATTTAATGGCATTCGTGTTATTTTTTCAATAAACTTTCTTAAATGAATAGTATTAGCAATTTAAATATACTATATAAATTAAATTCCAACAATCATAAATAGAGTGCTGTACATTAAAGAAAGAACTCATAAAAATAGAGCCTGATACTTCATCATATATAGGCTAATATATACTATTTATTTAAAATGTTGAATATTGCCGAAACCGGTTTGGTTCAGTGGACAGAGCGTCGGTCTGCGGACTGAAAGGTCCCAGGTTCGATTCTAGTCAAGGGCATGTACCTTGGTTGTGGGCACATCCCCAGTAGGGGGTGTGCAGGAGGCAGCTGGTCGATGTTTCTCTCTCATCGATGTTTCTAGCTCTCTATCCCTCTTCCTTCCTCTCTGTAAAAAATCAATAAAATATATTAAAAAAATAAAATAAAATGTTGGATATTAACTAAGAATAACTTGCTTGCCTTTTATTATTAGAAGAATTATTGGGTTATAAATTGGAGGATCTTTGGGAAAACTTTAAATAACAGTCTATGAAAGTTAATTCCCACCCTACTCCTCTTTTTCTGTCATGTTAGAACTATCTCTCTAATAAATTGACTTGAGATGGAGAACTGTGAAGCCTCCCTACCCAGCTGCCTCACTTCCTTGAGATTGCAAGTTATAAAAACAAAGAGGAACTCATTCTATTGCTTGAAAGTAGGGCTATCAGTAGATCTGAATTTTTGAAAAATTCCAAAAAAATGTTGAAAACACATATCATCAGATAAACAGAGTAAACCTCCAGTTTAAAACCTGGTGTAGCTTGCAATCAACATGCCACACTGCTGGGGGATGAAGGCCGTGATTGGGGGCAGGGGCAGGCTGGGAGAGGACAATGGGGGGAAAAGGAAACATATGTAATACTTTCAACAATATATGCTAATAATAGAAGAATATGCAAATTGTCCGGAACACTGTCACAGTAACAGTAACGACCGAAGAACAGGCTGCACGGGGCAACCAGGCTGGCGGGGGGGGGGGGGGGGGGGGGGGGTTGTTGGAGGTGACCAGGTCGCCAGGGGTGGCAGTTAGGGGTAATCAGGCCAGCAGGGGGGGCAGTTAGGGGTGGTCAGGCAGGCAGGCAGGTGAGCAGTTAGAAGCCAGCAGTCCCAGATATCCCCTGAGAGGTCCTGGATTGGAGAGAGTGCAGGCTGGGCTGAGGGGAGCCCCCACCCCATCCACGAATTTCGTGAACTGGGCCTCTAGTAAAGAATTAAAAATAAATAAGTAAACAAACAAGCAAACAAACAGAAACATGCCACACTGCTGAGGATGTTGATGGTGGGGAGGGCTGTGTATGGAGTGAAGTGGGGTATGTGAGAATGCTGTACTTCCTGCTCAGTTTTGCTGTGGACCTGAAACTACTCTAATAAACAAAGTCTATTAATTAACAACAACAACAAAACCCCGAGTATCAGACTTTAGAGGTAGGAGTGGTTCAGGGAATGTTGAATGTTCTAAGCTCAGCGGCATTGGGTGAAGGAGGAGGAGAGATCTTTGGGCAGCTGCTTTCTGAGCAGAAGCAATAAGAGCACTGACCTCAGGACACTCAGTACAGAAAGGCAGGGATATTCTTCAGAGCACACATTTGCTGCAGGGTGTAGGTGATTTTGCTTCCATTGGGGAAATATTTGATTTTTGGGTGAAGAGTGGGGGGAAAGAGAAGCAAAACAAACAAACAAACAAACACCCAACCCCTTTGATTTTGCAGTAAGGGCCACAGAGAATAAAGAGATATGTAGTATCTCTGTGGTATTAAAGTTTTATTTAAGCAGTGAATTGGGGGAGTGTCTTAAAAGGCTTCTGAGGAGGACAATAATGACAGAGATTTTGAGGAACATTGCTGCAGAGAATAGTGAATTGCTGGAAGGCAGGGAAGACATGGGCTCCTCTCGGCACCTCTTTCTGGGCCTATCCACAATGACCAGAGACAAGCTCTTAGGAACAGAACCAGCTCCAACGACAGAGATGCTCAAATACAGAGATAAGCAGCAAGCCAAGAAGGAAAATTAACACCATGAAACACAGGCACCAAACTCAATAAATAAAAGCATGAATGCCCAAGGAAACAGTTAATCAAGCAAATACGACTTTAAATGAACTATAATCAATAACCTCAGCAATATGACAAGATACGACAATCATAACAGCAGGCAGTTTTTAAATTAAAGAATCTTTTGTTAATTTGTTAATCATGAAAACAAAAATATGATCACTGAAATGAAAGTTCTTAGTAGATAAATCAAATAAAACAACAAATAAGTAACAATATAAATTTGTGAACTGTAAGGAATGATCCAAAGAATTCAGCCATAAGAGAGTGTACCAGATAGAGGCAGAACATACTGCACAAAAAAGGAGCAAAGTAATAAATTAATGTATTTTAATTGTAGTAACACATTTTTGAACAACAATAACAACAACAAAAAAACCCCTCAAAAAACTTAAGCTATACATAGATGTGCAGGTACTTTTCTAAAGTGAGCCCGCATCTCAGATGCATTATTTACCAAGAAAGAAACTTTTCTTTTTATTACAGTGCTAATGCCTTATTATGTGACTAAGATTTTTTCACCATTACATAAACAGCATCAATAAACAAGTTTAAAATGGTTCAATAACTTTCTCTAACTTTATTGCACAATATAATAGTAGTGAATATATCATTGAGTCAGTTGGAGAAAAAAATAGCTTGTCTTATGTCAGGTGAACAAGAACAACTTAAATAATAATAGCTCTCAAACCACGTATTTTCTGCAGTAGTTAATTGTAACAAGAAATTAATTGCCCACATTTTATAGCTTAGCAAAGTAGAAAGGCAGAAGTTGCACAATCTTCCCAAACCTGTCAAACAAAGAACAATTGGAAAATCCTGGAATTTCTAACTTTCTTTTTTTCCTTTGGATGTCTACAATGGAATTGTGGCTCAAAATTAAATAGTCTCTGACAAATATTCATTGAGCACTATTAAATTCCAGACACTGTATTAGTGCTTTATAAGTATTAACTCAGGTAATCATCTATGTAAGGTTATTATTATTATTATTATTATCTTCTTTTTATAGGTGAGAAAACTGAGACACAGGGATATTCAAGGAATGTGACAGCTGGTAAGTGCAGAGACTAGTGTGAACCAGGTAGTCTGGCTCCAGAACTGTGTTCCTCTGATACGTAGGCAGACGCGTTATCCATTGTGCCACTGGCCCGGTACATAGAGCTGCGTTCTTAACTTTGTGTGTAGTGGAGACACTTTGGGGCTATGGACTCAGAGGGCTGTCGCATTGGAGAACTTCTATGGGGTCAGAGTCAAGAAATAACTTGCACTATTGGGTAGCTCAGACATTTCAAAAAGAATTGTTGCTGCCTGGCAACAAATGCTGACTCTGCTTCCAAAAGGTTACTTACATCTTACTCTGCTATTCGTTCTCTTGACTTTCCTTCCTTTTTTTCTGTAGGATTGATGTCAAGCCCAAGAAGCAATGGTCGATGGCCACCGATAACAAGCTGGCAGTCTTCATGTGCTGAACAGTGTGTACACATGGAAGAGGAATTTAGGCAGAGCAGAGGGAGGCTCACATATGGTGATCTTTCAAATTTCAAAACAAAATATGGCAAGCCTACTTTCATTCTTTTCCCATATTGCTATTTTTCAAATTATATCTGTTATTGGTTTTTGTTTTAAAAGATTTTCATAGAAAGATATATCAGTACTATACTAGATAGTGACTGTATTTAAAAAATTATAATAGTAACTTATGCTCATTGTAACAAAAGCATTGAAGAGTACAGATTTCTATAGAGCAAAATCTTTTCACTTAGAGATTTAAATGCAAAAATGAGTCCATAAAATTACTGGAAGAAACTTCAATGAATTGAAATGATAATCTTGGAGTGAGGGAAAGACTCTAGCACAAAACAATATCCTTAAAGGATAAAAGAAAGAATCAATATGTTAGATTGCATTAAACTTTCTCATGAAAAAGAACCATAAACAAATTAAAATGAGTAACAAAAGCAGCAAGATAAAATTTATAATTTCTATAATAAATAGCTTTTTCTTTTTTTTTTTTTTACCACAAGCTATTTCAAATCAACAAGAAGAATGAAATTAAATAGAAAAGTAGGCAAAGAAGATGAATAGTTTACAAAAAAATAACTACCACTATAAAAATATACTTTGACTTCACTTGTAAATAAAAATATTAATACACTAAGGAAATATAATTTTTATCAGATTACCAAACATTCAACATTTTAATAATACCCAATGTTGGCAGAGTGTGAGGAAATAAGTATTTTCATGCTTTCTTAGTGGGGTTGGGAATTGATGTAGCCTTTTGCAAGGCAATAAACAGTATTTATGAATATTTTAAATTCTCAGACTTACTGACCAAACAATTTTAGTAGGAACTTATCTTATGTACATTTTAATTTAGACACATCAAAATACATGTCATTGTGCCATTGTCTGATATAGAGGAAAACTGTCAAACAACCTAAATGTATCTCAGTAAGGGAAAGGATAAACTATGATGCTTTCCTTCAACAAAATACTGTCAGTATTTAAAATAATGAATCAGAGCTAAGCCTGCTTATCTGGGAAAGATGTCTGGAATATATGAATTAATGAAAAAAGTAATTTGCAGTAAAAAAATCTATGATATGATCCCATTTGTGTATGTGTGTTTTGCAGTATATACTATATGCATTGGTTAAGATGCTCATGTTGCAAGTAAATAGAAATGCATGAAATTTATTAGATCCCATAATTGAAAGTGCAGAGGCCTGTTGGGTTTAGAGTTGGCTTTAGTGTCTTAATCCAGTAGCCCAACTCTCTGTTCCCTGATTCTCCTGGCTCAGCCTCCTCTGCTGACTCCCCAAACTGGTTCTCTTAAGAGGAAAAACCTCAGCAATTTCCCCTTGCACCTCACTGATCTGAACTGGATCATGGCAGTGACTCAGGAGCCCTTTCTCAGCACAGTCCTTGGGACAGGGAAATAAATACCTCACCCCTATGCATGGGCCTGGATTTCTGAACCAGTCACCAGCAGAGGAGAGGGATTTAACATACAGTATAGTATGAGGCAAATTAAAGCTCACCTAAAGAATGAAATCAAGTCAATCCCACCTGCTCACCCTCCCGGACAAAAAACTCAAAATAAAAATAACAAAAAATGGCAATGGCCATTGCACATGGGATGAAAGGGAGTGAAGAGATACAGGGCTAGACACAAATTTTTATTTTTCACTTCTACGACATTCATGTTTTTTATAGCTGCGTGTCCAACTCAGGATTACAGCAGGAATAATGTAAACAGATGGCCTACCCAAAGGGTTTAAAGAAGAGACATTAATATAAAACACTATCTGCAAAAGGATGGGTGAGGTTAAAAGAACAACAAAAACAAAAGAGGGATAGTGAAACATGCAGGGACTAGCAGCCGCAGGAAGGGAGAGGAATGAAGAGCAGCTGCTGATGAAGCAGGAAGGGAGTGCTTGGGTAAGGGAGTCAGTAAATACCTCCTGCCCTAAGTCTCCTGATGGTGCTTCCCATTAGCCAGGCCCAATCACAAACCGGAGGGCAAGGGTGAGGTGCTGTGTGCGGTGAGCCCGCTGAGACTCAGAGTCCAGAGGGAAGACTGGGGAATAGATAATGGGAGGAGAGGAGCAGGTGGGGCAAACAACTAGTGCCACATATACCACCTAATTGAAACATTAATAGCTTTTCAAATAAACGCAATAACCTGGGGGGTGGGTAGCCGGTAAAAGGGGAGGGGAATGGGTGATATCTGTAATACTATCAATAATGAAAAATATATTTTTAAAATGTGGGAAATCCTGTCACATGCAATGACGTGGATGGACCTTGAAGACATTATGCTAAAAGAAATAAGCCCAGTTGCAAAAGGACAAATACAATATGCTTCTACTTATATAAGATACTTTCGCAGTCAGCATAATAGAAACAGAAAGTAGAATGGTTGTTGCCAGGGGAACAGAAGAGGGAGAAAATGCAGACTATTGTTAAATGATATAGAGTTTCAGCTTTGCAAATGAAAAGAGTTCCGGAAATTGGTTGCCCAACAATGTGAATATACTTAACAATACTATTGATAAACTATAGACTTAAAAATGGTTACAGTAGATTATGGTCAGCCTGTAAGTGTATAGTGGTATCTTACTGCTGTTTTAATTTGCAATATCTTTATGACATATTATGTTGAGTGTCTTTTTGTATGTTTATTTGCCATGTGTATCTTCTTTGGTAAGGTGTCTGTTCAAGTCATTGTCCACTTTTTAATTGGGTTGTTTGTTTTTTCTATAGTTGAGTTTTAAGAGTTCTTTGTATACTTTGGATGAGAGTCCTTTATCAGATGTATCTTTTACAAATATTTTCTCCAAGTCTGTGGTTTCTCTTGACATCATCTTTTGGAAAACAGAACTTTTTAATTTTAACAAAGCCCAGCTTATCAATTCTTTTAAAAAAAAATTATTGAGCCGAAACCAGTTTGGCTCAGTGGATAGAGCGTCGGCTTGCAGACTGAAAGGTTTCAGGTTGGATTCCGGTCAAGGGTATGTACCTTGGTTGTGGGCACATCCCCAGTAGGGGGTGTGCAGGAGGCAGCTGATCAATGTTTCTCACTCATATATATTTCTAACTCTCTATCCCTCTCCCTTCCTCCCTGTAAAAAATCAATAAAATATATATAAAATTATTGAGAGAGAGAGAGAGAGAGAGAAACATCAATTTGTTGTTCCACTTATTTATGCATTCATTGGTTGATTCTTGTATGTGCCGTACTGGGGGGACCCACAACCTTGGTGCATTGGGACAACGCTCTAACCAACAGCTACCTGGCCAGGTCTATAATGGTGAATACATGTCACCATATATTTGTCCAAACCCGTAGAATGTAAAACACCAAGAGTGAACCCACAGAAGCAAACTGTGGCCTTTGGGTGACAATGATGTGTCAATGTAGGTTCGTCGATTGCAACAAATGTTCTCATTTGGTGTAGGAGTTTTATAGTGGAGGAGACGGTTAAGTCAGGGGGTAAATGGGAAGGCTCTGTACTTCCATTTATTTTGCTGTGACCTGATAATGCTCTAAAAAAAAAAATTAAAATCCACTAAAACAATGATTATGGTGTTACATTTTTTATGTTTTTCTACCACAATAAAATAATATGGAAGTCTTTCCTTCTTTTCTCCTCCCAATCCTATTCATCCTCAACAAAGATTATTGTGTCTATATTTTTACCAAGTTTCAAACTTCACATTCTTTTATTTTCCAAAAGTGACGATTTAAAGGCTAATACTGTGCTCAGAGAGAGGTCCTGAGTAGAGAAACACAAATTTGATAGTTACCAGTATGGCCATAATTCTTCCATCATGGGAGTGGATAAAATCTCCAGGGGCAGGTGTGCAAAGAAAGCAAGAGATTCTGAGAAGGCGCCCTGGGAAATCCACTAACGCTGCTGAGAGTGGAGGGGGAGTCAGCCAAGGAGAATGAAAATAAACAAGGAACCAATATGAAGTCAAGAACCAAGGACAGAGAGCATTTTACAAATAAATGCGTAAGTCAAAACCATAATGAGATACCACTTCACTGTTATTAAAATGGCAAGATTTTTTTTTTTTTTTTTTTTTTTTTTTTTTTAAGGGCAAGTGTTGGCAAGAATGTAGAGAAAGGCTTCTCTGGGAATGTAAAATGGTTCAACCACTGTGGAAAAACAGTTTGGCAATTCCTCACTATGTTAATCAGAATTGAAAGGAGTTAAAAAGCAGAATTAGATAAGGTTAGGGGTGGAAACAGGAGGAATAGTGGAGCTAGCTGAAACAAACAAAAAATGTGTTTTGCAGAAAACAGTATGGCAGAAAAACAGAGTATTTTAAACAAGGATGTTTTTCTTGCAAGTGCAAAACAAAATGTTGCAAAAAGTCCAGAAGTCAATCAGAGAGCAGCACAGATAGAGGATTAGCAGGCCTTTAGCAGACATAATGGAAGAGCAGAAAGCTTCAGGGGCAACCCATTTGAATCCCCTCTGAGTGGGGAGCCTGTGTTTGTTTGCAATAAACTCCTGCCTCGTTTGAACTCCTCTGGTTTTGGCTTTATCCTTCAATTCCACGAGACACAATTCCAGGAAAAATTCCTGCTCACCAGTTTCGGTATCAGAATTACCATATGATTCAGCAGTTCTACTCGTAGGAATATACTCAAAAGAATTGAAATCAGGAACTCAAACAGATATTTGTATACAAATATTCATGTGGCACTATTCACAATAGCCAAAAAGTGGATGTTCATTGTGGATGATGGATAAACAGAATGTGATACATACATACAGTGGAATATCGTTTGGTTTTAGAAAGGAAGGAAGTTCATCTGGCATGGATGAATCTTAAAAACATTATATTAAGTGAAATAAGCTAAGCCAGACACAAAAGGACAAATATTATATGGTCCCACTTATTTAAATTACCTAGAATAGGCATATTCATAGAGACAGAAAGTAGACGTTACTAGGGCTGGAGGGGAGGAGAGAACGGGGACTTTATTGTTTAATGTGTATAGAGTTT